AGGCATTAAGTCTTCTTCAGACTCCCTTATTCATTGTCCAGCTTTCACATGCATATGAGGAGACTGAAAATGCTCTGGCTTGGGTCAGTTACACCTTAGTCTTCAAAATGACATCTTTGCTTCTGAACACTTTATACAGGTCTTTTGAAGCAGATTTCCCCAGTGCAATACAACATCTGATTTCTTGACTGCTGCTTCCATGGGTGTTGATTGTAGATTTAAGTAAAATTAAATCCTTAATGACTTCAATATTTTCTCCATTTATCATGATGTTGCTTATTGGTCCAGTTGTGAGAACTTTGTTTTCTTTATGTAGAGGTGTAATCTATACTGAACACTTTAATCTTTGTTCTATATCAGTGAGTGCTTCAAGCCTCTTCACTTTCACGAAGCAAGGTTATGTCACCTGCATATGGCAGGCTGTTAATGAGTCTTCCTCCAATCCTGATGTCATGTTCTTCTTCATATAATTCAGTTTCTCAGATTATTTGTTCAGCATGTAGATTGAATAAATGGTGAAAGGATACAATCCTGATGCACACATTCTTGATTTTAAATGCTGCAGTATCCCCTTGTTCTGTTAGAATGACAGACTCTTCTTCTATGTACAGGTTCTTCATGAGCACAATTAAGGGTTCTGGAATTTCAGTTATTTGCTATGTTAACCATAATTTGCTATGATTCACATAGTCAAATGACTTTGCTTAGTCAATGAAACACAGGTAAACATCTTTCTGGTCTTATTTACTTTCAGCCAAGATCCACCTGGCATCATCAATGATATCCTTCCTTCCATATCCTCTTCCAAATCTAGTTTGATTTTCTGGAAGTTCCCTGTCAATATGCTGCTGCAACCATTTTTGAATTAACTTTAGCAAGATTTTAGTTGCATGTGATACTGTAAAATAATTTCCACTTTCTGTTGAAATCACAAATATTCATCTTTTCCTGTCTATTGGCCAAATAGCTATATTTCAAATATCTTGGCAAAACAAGGAAGCACTTGCTATGCTGCATCACTTCATTGAAACCTCTTAATGGGTACTTGATCAATTCTTGAAGCCTTAATTTTTGCCAGTTCCTTCAATGTGGCTTTGACTTCTTTCAACAATACCATTGGTTCTTGATCATATGCTACCTCCTGAAATAGTAGTACATTGACCAATTCTTTTTGGTACAGTGAATCTGTGTACTCCTTTTCAATCTTCTATTGATACTTCCTGCTTCATTCAATATTTTATCCATAAAATTCTTCAATATTGCAACTTGAAGCTTGAATTTTTTCTTAAGTTCTTTCATCCAGAAAAGTATCTAGTGTGTTCTTCACTTTTGGTTTTCTAACTCTAGGTCTTAGCCCATTTCATTATAATACTTTACTGTCTTCTCAAGCTGCCCTTTGAAATCTTCTGTTCAGCTCTTTTATCTTGTAATATCTTCCATTCACTTTAGCTATTTTCCATTCAAGAGCAAGTTTCAGAGTCTCTTCTGACACCCCTTTTGGTATTTTCTTCCTCTCCTGTCTTTTTAATGACCTTTTGGTTTCTTCATGTATGATGTCCTTGATGTCATCCCACAACTCGTCAGGTCTTCAGTTATTAGTGTCTTATGCATCACATCTGTTCTTCAGATGGTCTCTAAATTCAGGTGGGATATAATTAAGGTCACATTTTGGCTTTCAAGCACTTGTTTTCATTTTCTTCAGCTTCAACTTAAACTTGGCTGTGATAATATTCCATTATATGGATATGGGAGCTCTGGTGGCTTAGTGCCTAAGGCATTTGACTGCTAACCAGAAGGCTGGCAGTTCAAACCCACCAGCCACTCCTTGGAAAGAAGGATGGGCAAACTTCTGTAGTGATACTGTCTCAGAAACCCAAGGGGTTGGATCTGACTCGATGACAGTGAGTTGGGTTTTGGTTTTTGGATTATAATGTTTGAAGGAGCTTTGGTGGTGCAGGCATTTCACTGCTAACCAGAAGATTGGTGGTCCAAACCCACCAGCTGCTCCATGGAAGGAAGATGGGACAAGTACTTCTGCAGAGTTTTCCCACCTCAAAAACCCAATGGAAGTCACTATGAGTCAGAATTGACTAGATGGCAATGAGTTTGGTTTTGGGTTTTATTATTATGTTTAAGATGCTTTAGTGTATTTGGAAGTATTTCTAAGGTGTTTTATCCACAGAAAGCTAAAATAGATATTATATACTAAGACAAACATTTAAATCTCTGGCATATGTATCTGTTGTGATTTACCTACAAATTCAAATTAAAAACAGACTTAGGAGAAAATCTCTTTCATTACCCAGGAACTCCCTATTCAACCTCTGGGTCTTTGTTACTGTTGATTCCTTTTAATTGACTTTTAATTTGGCAATTCACTCTTGATAAATTCTATTTATTCTTAAATGTTCAGCTTAAACATCACCTCTACTTGGAAAACTTACCTGCAGTTGTTTATGCAACTCCATAAACAAGGTTTCACAGAAATCAAGACCAATTTCTTATTTATCATTTCATCAAAGGACATTTCAGTATTCACTTACCAAAGGTTTTAGATAGGTGTGGGTTCAAATCTTGGATGTCATCCATATTTATTGTATCACTGGAGCTGCTCACCTAATCTGATAACACTCCATTTCCTCATAGATAAAGTAGGGATAATAATAGTACATGAAGGATGGGTGTTAGTCAATATTTTGGACTCAGTATACAGTAGATGTTAGCTATTCTGATGGCAATCGTGGTGATGATGATGATGATGATAATGAAGGTACTCAAAAAATATGTGCTCAATAAAAATATAACTGAATTAAAGGAATTCACTATTATTAAAACCTATTTCTATGGGATTATGTAGTCCAAATTCCAAACAACCTGTTCAAAATTAACACTTGAAACAGGGTACATGTAGTGTTATTGGGCTATTACCATAAACTTTACTGGTACGACCCTGCTGATGGTGATAAGGATGAAGTTGCCAAAAGAAAACAACTTCTGTGTGTCAAGCAGTAGGCATGTTCTGTAGCACAACTCCTATCCAATCATTTCTTGACCCAACACCAATCTTAGAAAAAGATGGGAAAAAATGAGGAATTTCTAGAGATAAAAAAGCCAACAAAAGGGTTTTCAAACCAAAAATACCACCTAGCATACTTTGTGGTTGAAGATAAAGTGATTTAAGTTTAAGTCTAACTAGCATATTAAACATATATATATTGAAAAATATGATGTCAATATCTGCCAGGATATTAATAAAAAGTGAGAAAGATGAAAGTCATTGCTCGAACAATTCTAAGGGGCCATTATAAACTTCAGATGGTAAACATTAAAACATATATATATGTAATATATTTTTTAAAATAGGAAGGGCTTTTAAGTTAACATAAGCATGAAATTGAAAATTAAAAAAAATTCTCATTGCAAATTGTGTTCTGTATGAAAAGAAATTGCAGATCAAAAGACCTTGAAGCATTTCTTTTTACAAAGGAAAATATTTTTTGCTCTTTAGCTGACTATTGACTTGGGCAGCAGAGGGAAAGAAAAGTGCATTGGAAAATGGAAGATGTGTTTTAAAAGAAATCATTAAAAATATTAGTATAAATTGGTTCATTACTGATGGCTCAAATGTGAAAAATATTGATGTTAATGATGGTAATTATGACAGTTGAAAAGTATGTAAATAACAAAAAGGCAAAAGCTGCTTAGGAAATACTATGGTACAATTTATAATGATTAGCAGTAAAGCACACTAATATGTAGGATGCAACATTTTGAAGGTCAAGTAACTATCAACTTGCCATAATATCATTCAATTAAATACACAATAAAATCTAACATTATTTATGGAGAGAATAAAGTAATGTCTGTAGAATAGTATATTATAAACTCTGGCTGTATGTACAAGCAGAAATGCCTGATCTAATGCATCATTAAACAGCTGTAGCTTTGCTCTACATTTTTTAAACATTAGACTAATTATGATGGGGGTTGGTCTTACTATATGCTGCATGCTTAATCTTTTTTAAGAGCCTATCAAATTGAATCATGAGATAAAAGTTGTGTCTGCTACAGGCAAACACATGCAATATTAACAATGTACAATATCCTGGTTTAATTGGAAAAAGTCTATGTTGTCTTAAATACATTTAGGAGTATAATATCACACAGTTCTAGTTTGAACTTTCCATTTAATTATATTTTAAAACTAATTTATCTGTCTTGGAACTTTTCTTTTCTCTCTGCTACATAAAATGTTGGTCTATTAACCCAACTAAAACCAGCTTCTGCTAAAAATGAAAAGAGAGAGTAAAAGAGATTTAGTGAGGTTTGGAAGGAAGAAAGGAGTGGTCCTGGTGGAAACTACAGACAAGAAATATCTTTAAACAGATTACCAAATGTAGGTCTGTTCATCAAACCAATGAGTTCAACTGTACCCAACAAAGATCCATTCTAGCATTCTCCCTCTAGGCTACATATCCTAATGTTCTTTAAATAAGATCTACGTTTTTCAGAAAATAATGCCTTTTGGAATCTTTTTCTCCTCTTGGTCTCTATCTCTCTAGCCATTTCCTACATCCAGGGTTTGCAACATAAAATCTCCAAATCCCTTACTATCCTCACAGATAGGGGGCCCGGTACTAAAGAAGGTATCTGAAGGTGAAACCTACCTATAGAGCCTGGTCTTCAAGAACCTCTGTGCTTATGTTCCCAAAGTTAATGAGTCTGCTTTCTACAATTTAAAGTTTTTCAGCTTTAGTTGTTCCTTACTTCAGTCTTCAACATTCACACCAAAAATAAAATAGAGTGTGGAGTCATGAAGAATCAACAGTCAAGTATAAATTTGACATGGGAAGTTCACACTTACTATTTAGTTAATTTAAATTTTTTTTTCAGTATCATGAAATCAAACAGTATAACATAAAATGAATTAATTGCTCAACTTTAACCTCAAAATTAATTTTTTTATAATAAATTCTAATGAAGTGTTAAAGATTGTTTACCTTTACAAATAGTGACACCATTTCCTGAAAATCCCATGTTGCAATAGCAGGCTTCAACTCCATTATGTACTTCGCATTTTGCATTTGGGAGACAAGGTGTCTTGGTGCAACTTTGAGTATGGGTACAATTGAGCAAAGTGGAAAAGCCCACTAAATGAAAGAGAGAAAAACATCTTTTCAAAAAGGAGAAAACACTCAACCCGTTTTTGAGTTAAAGCACAAGTATATAATAGCTCTCTGTCAGCAGTACTACTGATGGCCTTTTAGAATCATTTTCTGCTAAAAATTTTAATATAGTCTTTTTTCTTTCCATTTAGATAAATGGGTTATGTGAATGTACCCAAAGGAATCTTTAGCTAAATAACAGCACAAGAGCAGGTAAACAAACGAATTAAGGTTTTTCATCAATTTCAAACTTATCAAGTAAATCTCAACTAAGCTAAAAAGTAGTAAACAACCCCACTGTATAATGAAAACAACATTCTGAGATCTTTGCACCACAGAAATCAAAAAAGCCCTTCAGCCTGAGGTGAGATACTTTTACAGATAATTTTGCATCACTATAAAGCAATCTTCCCTCTCTAGGAGTCATTTTGTGCAGAAATCAAAGAAAATTGAGTACTCAAATTCAAATTTGCCATATTTTAAAATGAAGAGAAACAACCTTAACATTCATGGGAATAAATATTATTATTTTTGCTGTGTTATCATGATTGGCTTTAATACAGTTTTTTCAAGAATAAAATTTATTTTCCTTTTTCTTCCATGAGGGGAAATTAAAACAAAATTCAACATGATGGTCAAAGACTGATCTTCATGAAATAGAATACAACACAAATATGATCAGCAAAAAAGAAGCATAAAAGAGAAGACTTAACTTCAGAGTTACTGAAAATAAAAGTTGGAAATGGTATTTTATGGACTGTTAGGATAAGATAAGGAAAAGGCCTAGGACGTTCTCTTTTTATTGTTGCTCCAGACCTTCTGAAGGAAGCCTGCTTGTGGACGGACAGTTATGAATCATGATAGTTATTGTTCTGAAAACAGTCATCTGAGATGAATTGTCCTTATCTGGTACCAAGAGATTCTTAAGCATTCGATTCTAAATCCCAGCCTCACATAAGACAGTATAGGCTGTCTAAACCAGAATTAATTTGCCTTCAAAGATTTGATTTATTATCTTCCTTCACAAGAACATCAAAATGGTATTTTAAATGTACCCAAAGCCTGAGCTGGCAATTCCTTAGAATGCCAGGAAGCCTCCCATAGGTGTTTATGCTTTGGATTTCGCATGTTTCTTGGGGGAAGATCAGAGGAAAGGTCAAAGTCTGAGACTTTCGGGATCTTGTTAACTTTAGCAGAAGGAATAAAAAAGTTAACTTAGTCCCTTTGCCCTGAAGCCTCTGAGTTGAAAGGCCTAGTAGAAAAACATCCTGTGAAGGACTCCTCTTCTACTTGGAGGGTTTGCCAAATCCACTTGGCAAGTAAATTGCACCTTGTAAAAATTTCTTCCCTACAAATAGCCGGGCCCCTCCACAAACTCAGGGGACCTGTGGCCCTAAGCACTCACCTAGAAGCGGGAGGAGTTTCATTGGCGGCGGCCAAGTAGCTTGAGGCGGAGGTGAGCTCGGCGGGCTGTGCGGGACAGTGTGCAGGAGACGCGGCAGGGCGGGGGCGGCAGGGACCCAACTCCATCCCCTGTGACGCGCCGGCTTCCTCTGGACACTTTCCGGCCTTCTTTGTGTGACTGTATGTGTCAAGCCCTGAGTCTACTGGCCATGTCCGTCTCTGGCACCTTCCCCCGGGAAGAAGCTATGGGCTGGGCTCTGCTTCTTGCCTCTTGGACCACCAACTCCAGGACTATTGCAGACCCTCTTGGGAATCATTGTGCCTCCAGGCACGGACCCCAGAGTGTAGAGTGCCACTGCCAAAGCTTTCTTGGAGGAAGCAAAGCCTCTATAGCCCCATGGAGTGTTCCTGCTGAGAGAGCACCCAGAGTTAAATAGGTTTTAGGGGTTCTCTTCTGCAACTGAAATTCCAGAACACACATTTCTTTTGTTCACTAATAACTTTCCATAAAGAACAATAGGCCAAAAAGTTGACAGGAGACTCAGGTCCATTGCCAGTACTAAATGAGCCATTGCCAGTACTAAATCCTCACCTTGCTGATATTCAGGATTTCAGACTATACATTAAGATCAGTTCTCTATTATCTTTAGTTTGGATTGTGCTTAAAGTGACTATCCGAAAAGCCAACAAACAACAAAAACAAGTTTCAAAAATTAACAGCTATGGAAGCAAAACAATGCTTTTTTCCATTTTCAGCTAAAATCCACCCCACTGTAGCCTTGTCCTCAAAACATGTAGTTTTTCTTTTCAATGTTCCTCTATATAAATTGATTGTATAAAAACAGGCTAGTCAGATTAGAACATTGGGACAATTCTAGCTTAGAAATTAAAAATAACTATCAGGCAAAACTAATCTGTGACAGAAAGCAGATCAGTGGTTGCCTGAGGTTACAGTGGGACTTGGGTTGACAGAAGATAAGCATAAAGAAAAATTGTGAGGTGATGGGAACCTTCTGTACCTTGATAGGTACAGTAATTATGTGGATATATGCGTTTGTTGAAACTCCTTGGAAGGTGGTGCATTTCATTGCATGTAAATTATACCTCAATAAAGTTGAATTAAAGAAATTAAATGACTGGTGTTGGTGCTATCAACACAAACCATTTTATCATTAAATAGACAGAGATGCACCTTGTTCATATTCCATATCTATTCCATTTAATTTAACAAACATCTATGGAAAGTTTATGTTATGTAGAGAAAACACCCTCATAGATATAAAGAAACCATGACCCTTGGCCTCCAAACAACGTCTCAACTAGAAGGGCAACAATAAAACTAGTGTCAGTCACAATTATACAAATGTTTATGTATAGACACATAGCCCTGACTCTCCACTCCTCTACCTTTTCTAACTCAAACCAAACTCAGTGCCATTGAGTGGATTCTAACTCATAGTGACACTCTTTGGGTTTCAAAGGCTATAAATCTTTAAGGAAGCAGATCACCCCATCTTTCTTCTGCAAAGCGGCTGGTGGGTTTAAACTACCGGCTTTTTGGTTAGTGGTCAAGTGCCTTAACCTCTACACCACTAGAGCTCCTTCTAGCTTAATTTAATTCTTGCCACAAAGTTCTTAAGAATGGTGCTACCATGGATGAGATAAATGAAGGGAGATGTCGTGTGACTTGCACAGAGTCACAAAGCTAGTCTAAGTGACTGACTTTCATTCAAACGCAGGCTATTTTATTTATGAGTCACCCTCTCTATCACCTTGCAAGAATGAGGAGTCACCAGATATTTCTGTTCAGGGAGTCTGAACAGGTGGGCCCAGTGCCTTATATGCCATGAGAAAGAAGTTGAGGACTTCACTCTGTTGATAATTGTTGTAACTGTTTTTCTTTAAAGTCTTGTTTTTCTTCTTTTGTTTTTTTTAACTAGACCATGATTTATTAGAAAAACTCAGGCAGCAGTCTGAATGATGGATTTTAAGGAGATAGCAGAGGTAGGGAACTCAGAATAGCACAGGAAGTAGACTACAAATGCCTGAACAAGGGTAGGAGTATTTGAAGTGGGGAGAAAGGGACAGATTTCAGAAAGGATTAGATAAAGACAAATTGATATCTGCTTCGTCTGATAAGGTTGAGAGGTATGTGTGAGAAAAAGAGAGTGCAGAGGTTTCCCAGTCATGCCAGCAGAAGAAGATTGGACCAGTCACAAAAAGAGGAAAGAGGGCGGGGAGTGACTTAGAAGGGAAAAAAAAAAAAGTGATGAGCTTTGTTTTATAATATTACATTCAAAGTGCTCTAATAATCTGACTCTATGTGAAACAGGGCTCTGGTGGCACAATGGGTAAGGCATTTGGCTGCTAACCAGAAAGTCAGGGGTTCAAACCCACCAGGTGCTTCAGGGGAGGAAGATAGGGTGATCTACTTTCATAAAGATTTACAGCCTTGGAAACTTTATAGGGGTCTTAACAAGTCAGAATCAACTCGATGACAGAGTTCAAATTTATACAAAATTATGGAATATGTTTATGGTACTGAAGTTGAATCTCAATGTATATACACAGAAACTAACTTCAAAAGGTATAAATATGGAAATATTATTTTCTGATATAAGTTATGAACTAAAAAAGTACCTATTTTGAAAATCATTTAAAAATTAGTTTACTTCTCATTGTTGTTATTGTTGTTGTTGTTATGTGCTGTCAAGTCGGGCCCGACTCATAGCGACCCCTCCTTGGGTTTCAGGGGCAGTATCACTACAAAGGAGCTCTGGTAGCATAGTGCCTAAGCCACTTGACTGCTAACCAGGAGGCTGGCGGTTCAAACCCACCAGCCACTCCTCAGAAGGAAGGTTGGGCAATCCTACTTCTGTAGTGAT